GGATTCCTGCCCCATCCCCAGGGGCTAGGGCGGGGCCCCAAAGGGAACATTTACCAATATTTTCAAATTCTTATCCATTGATGACATGACAAGTATTGTATTTCACTTAGTTTACATGCTGATTTCCACATCACATCTAAACAATAAAATAAAGCTACCAGTACCTATGATATAACTCAGGTGACCGCTAAGGCCCTTGGGCCTCTTGTTAAAAAAAGCCTATAGCTGCTCCTCATGTACTTTTAGTCATTTCCAACAATAGTTGTTATTAGCTCACCTGCCCGAAGGGCAAGTGAGCTTATGCCATGGTGCGGCGTTTGTCCGTCTGTCCGGCGTCAACTTTCTACTTTAAACAACTTCTTTTCAGTAACCAAAAGGCCTTTGATGATGATATTTGGCCAGTATCATGCTGGGATGAAGGCTAAAAAGCTTGTTAAAATGAATGACCTTGACCCACTTTCAAGGTCACAGGGGTCAAATGTGTTAAAATCTTCAAACAACTTCTTCTCAATAACCAAAAGGCCCAGTGTACTGATATTGGGCCTGTAGCATGCTGGGATGAAGGGCTACTAAGTTTGTTCAAATAAATGACCTTGACCAATTTTCAAGGTCACTGGGGTCAGATGTCTTAAAATGTTCAAACGACATCTTCTCAATAACCAAAAGGCCCAGGGAACTGATATTAGGCCTGTATCATCCTGGGATGAAGGGCTACCAAGTTTGTTTAAATGAATGACCTTGACTAATTTTCAGGGTCACAGGGGTCAAATGTCTTAAAATCTTTAAACAACTTCTTCTCAATAACCAAAAGGCCCAGTGTACTGATATTGGGCCTGTAGCATGCTGGGATGAAGGACTACTAATTTTGTTCAAATGAATGACCTTGATCCACTTTCAACCTTGCAATTGTTGGACAATCAAGGTCACAGGCGTCATATCTTTAAATCTTTTAATAGGTTCTTATGAAATCTTAAGATTACATGTGTGAGATTAATACCAGGTGAGCGATGCAGGCCCATTGGCCCTCTTGTATAAAGATCCTTGGAACCATGAAATTCCTTGTGAGTTTTTGTTTACAGATAGTTTAAGACTATTGTGTTTTTAAATCATTTGTAACTACAACTTTACACAATAAGCAAGATACACCTTACTTGTTAAGGAATAAAGATTGAAGATTTTACACTTGACTAAGTATATTTAATGTAATACATAATGTTATTAATCTATATATACATGTATGTTTGAAATACTTTAGCATTATCAGGCTCTACTCTGACTTTTTATCAATTTAATATTGATTTTAATAGAGCATTTCTGATAGGTTTGTAAAGGAATCTTGTCTGGTACAACTTTTCCTTTTGCATCTTCTGTTGAAATGAACTTAATAACGAGTCCCTTAAATAAATGCCTCAATGTTGAAATTGATATCATCTGAACTACCATCGAATGTAACGATGTGTGTGTAGTGAGCTTTTGATGTTTCTATAGGACTAGCTAGCAGCAAGCAGGTTTTGTTACATGTATTTATTAATGACATTCCCCTATACCTAGAATTATGTATGTTTGGTGTTTCAAACTTCAAGTTTACATTGTAATCATAATTGTATTCAAATATTTTTACTTTATTGTAATAAGGTTGGCATTGATTGAATCTGTCATAAATGAAATTAGATCTTATAGATATATGTATACATTGTTATAGATATATGTATACATTGTTATAGATATATGTATCCATTGTTTTAAATATTAAACATTGTGTGGTGCAGTCAATTACTTCGCAGCAAACTATATACTTCAAAGAAAACAAACATATCTATGTATCTGCACAAGGATCTAAATTCATTAAATTCATAATCAAATAACACATTTCATTAATAAATGACATGAGAAAGAAGCTATATATGTATTTATTTCCAAGTTTCTTGTTGGAGGCAAATTTTCCGGGCATTCTGGACATCGTTGTCGAGGGGGGAAATTGATGCGCAAAATAAAATACATATGTTCAAGTTTTTCCAGCATTTCAGCCCAAAAAGAACCTCCGCAAATTACACGTGTTTTTACTGTTTATATAACTATATGAGAAAACACCCGATAGCAGAGTTCCATTATACATTGTTTACTGCAGTAGTGATGTAGGCATACAAGTGTTTGGCTGGTATTCTGCATCAAATTCAATTGTAAACATGAGACTTGGTAAATATTTACCTATATCTTGATATATATACTGTTCTTTCGCTAGTAACATCTTTTTTTGCTGCAAGTGTGTAATTGAAGATAGTACACATGTTATAATTAGTTGAAAAAATACATAACAATTGGCATTAGAAAAGTTTACAGATGTAAGACAGTCCTAGCACCCCCAACCACAGGTTGTAAGTCAACCTATTGTTTAACAGTCAGTCAGGTGTAACCTATTGTTTGACAGTCAGCCAGGTGTAAAAAAATACCCTGTTAGGCCAAGGCATTGTTTACATAATGCGTCCAGGGTCACTGAGGGTGTGACAGAAAGTCCCCAGGGCATTTATCATGAATCATTACCACCATTTACCTGTATTTTTTGTGTGACAGTGGCCAAAATAAAGTGATATTAAGAGAAATCAACATAAAATCAGGTGATAATAAAAGAATTGAATTGCATTGATTATAAAACAGGAAAAACGGTGCATCAAAAAAACATAATAATAACAGAAAAGTGACATTAACAGACGTGATATTAGGTGAAATGTACTGTATAACGTGTATGATATGTTGGTGTCAACGCATATCCTTTCGGCCTGCTGGTAGCCAAAGGCTATATATAAATAAATATAGTTTGTATTCTATTTTACTTAAATATGTATCTATTATTTTCGTTTCATATGAAGCTAATATAAGTGCAAATTTCAGTATTCTCCCCACTTAAAAAAGAAAAGTTACGTTTCGTGTGCAAGATTTCGTGTGGCACAACAACCAAATAGGTTATGTGTGTGTGCCAACTAAAGATGCAACAGAAAACATTTCACAATCAGAGTTCCTTCTTAATCAACAAGGATTAACGTACCAACAATAAATGCTGCTTTTGACAATATTGGAGTGGATGGAGAAGTGAAGAAGAAACCATGATTAATGTATCAAACCACGACCAATCTACAGCAGAATATCAACGAAGAAGTCGTTTGCACGGAGGCCATTAAAAACATGACCAGATGTTTTGAACGTGTTTTCTGCTTCATGGACGACATCCGTTTTGTAAATCCATGTCACAACAAACTAATGTTACGTCCTCAAAGGGGGAACCAGGGTTGGTTTTGTTTAACGTCCAATTGACAGCTGAAGTCTTTTGAGGACGCGCCTCCATGTGTATTGTGTATGCATGCATGTGTGTATGTGTGCCGGAGACAGGGTATGGTGTCATTGTCTCCTTGTGATAGCCCGGATCTGATGCCGAATTTATAGTGCTATCTCACTGAAATACCATGCAGAAAGCACACAAAACAGCATTCCACCCGGCCACATTATGCGGACAACGTATGAACCAGTTGTTGCCATTCCTCTAAATGCTGAACGTTAAGCAGGGAAATAACAAATACCAGTTTTAAGTATCCATTGCCTTCCTCACCTGGCCGAACGCTCACTATTAAAGCCAAAGGTGAGGTATTGCAAAGCAAGGCGCAAGGAAATAAAGGGGAGATATAAGTAGGAAGAAAAATAGAGATCCAAAATGTTGCAATGGGTGCAGCAGATTTATTTTGGTCGCTTTAATTTTGTGTCCTCTATGTGTAGAGGGCATAAAAGCAAATCCCCAATTCTGCAGGGGTTCCAACATTAGTCGCCTCATTGTCGTCCTTCATATCAAATAAAGAACTAGATGCTGCTAGGATTAATCTAATTTAGTCAATGTAAGGGCAAATTACACAAACCTATAACATATATAGCATTTTTAGGTCACCTGAGACATAGTCTCAAGTGACCTATTGCGATCGCCTTTTGTCCGTCGTCGTCCGTCGTGCGTCCGTAAACAATTTACATTTTCGACTTCTTCTCCAAAACCCTTGCACCAATTTCAATGAAATTTTGCAGAAACCTTCCATGGCCAAAGGTCAACAAAAATGGGTGCCGGGTTGGTCCCTGGCCCACAGGGGCCTGAGGGGCGGGACCAAAAAGGGTCGAATTGACTGGAATTTCAAAAATCTTCTTCTCAAGACCCAGATATGGTAGAATCAAACACTCTTCATAGATGGAATGGTCTTAAGGTGCTTTACCAAAATTGTGAATTTTATAACCCTGGGGTCTCACGTGTACCCCTGGGGAGGGGGTAAACTTTACTATAGTTTATATAGGGAAATCACCTTTTGGACCAACATTTGTTTAATTTTCATTGGAAGTAATTCAATTTGGGTAAGCATCATCAGTATTGGATAGCAGTTTGATGGTATGCACAAATGAGCCCTGACTGACCCCCCGGGGCTGATGGGTGGTGCCAAAAAGGGTTGAATTGACTGAAATTTCAAATAAATATCTTCTCAAAGACCCAGATATGTGGAATCAAACACTCTTCTTAGATGGAAGGGTCTTAAGGTTTATGACCCTAGGGTCTCACGTTTACCCCCTGGGGAAGGAGGGGGGGGATTTATTATGGGTTATAATGGGAAATGATACTTTGAATATTACATGTTAATAACTTGATTGGAATTATAACCTTGAGTTGACAGTTTGATACTTTGAAAATTTTGAGCCGGCCCTCCTCCCAAGGGCTGTAGGGTGGGGCCCAAAGGAGTCAGTGTGCTAAAATTTCTTCATTTTCCTTGTTTAGAATCAGAGGTGCTAGTTTCCAATACATTTTAGTCTTAAATCTGTATGCTAGATATTGAATAAGATGGTTTTATTGTTTTTTTGTCACTGAATAATATTTCTGTTCGTGTTAAAAACAAAATCAACTCTCTGTATAAACATATCAGGTGACCGTTAAGGCCCATGGGCCTCTTGTTACAACAATTTTCACAAATTTTACAACAAAATGGATTGGCCGGGTTTCGGTTATTTAATCAATACCCGTTTAATTGTGGGACATACAAAAACATGAATTTATTCATGTTATTAGTTAACGAGGAGGGGAGGGAGTAACATAGATACGCATTATAACTGATAATATAGACAATAAAAAGGTTCAGCAGAGAACCGATCACAAAATAAATAATACTACTGCAAGGCATTACTCTTACTTATGATAGTTTAACTCTAAAATGTCTAGCTGCGTGGCTAATGTATGTCACCAATGGTATAACAATAAACAGACACCATAGTGAATCACTGTGAGACTGTGAAAGTCACAGCAATTAGGTGATAATGCATAACTTTTGTCAAACTATTTTGTTTTCCTGAAAGGTTTACCAGTGAATCATGTAGATTATATATAACCCTCGGAATAGTATTCATATCCCATTTGAAGTCGTGTATTAAATATATTGTATGCTTGCCATGTTATATGACAATTAGACTCATCCATTTGTCACAAACGATACACTGTATATATTATTTGTTTTACATTGTATTGGTATGTAATGTCCATGGTTCACATTTGACCGGAACCCACCGTCATTTATCGTCTTTGCTAGGTCTGACTAGGTATGTTTCCAGTGGCGACCTTGATTTCTCGTCGCTCAGCTGGTATTAATATCACATTTGTAACCTCGAAAGTGGACTAAAATAAAGCTATAAGCATATTATCAGTATCTAAAACATTAAGTCATTCAAAAGAACATGTTAAAAGATTTGAACACGTTTGATACCTGTGACCTTGAACGTATAACAAGGTCATATAAGTTGAACAAACACCAAAGCCCTTCATTCCAGCATGCAACTTGTAAAATATCACTACTCTAAACCGTTTGCTTGTTGAGATGAGGTCATTAAAAACGTTTATAAACATTTGGCCATATGTGACCTTGAAAGTAGGTAAAGGTCATTCACATAAACGAACTTGATAGCTCTTCATCTGAGCAGGCTACTGGTCAAATATCACCGCACTTTTTATTTTGGTTAAAAAAAAGCAGTGTTTAAACATATTCAACCTTGTGACCTTGAATATGAGTCAAGGTCATTCTTTAGAACAAACTTTATAGCCTTTCATCTCTGCATTCTACTAGCCAAATATCATCACCCTAAAATACAACACCGCCTTTTATATCCTTGTAGCCTCCCTGTACGTGACATCTAGTGGCGCAAGGAGGTATCATTTATCTGTACACTTGAGCAACGCTGAATCACTGTCAACAACTATGAACTGGACATTTGTTTACCCGACAATATAGCTTTCATAAAGCATTAGGGAAAAGAAAACCCACACTTTACAGAACATTTATGAAAAATAAAGATCAAAGCAAATAACAACTGCTTTGACAATAAAACCACCTCGAGAGTCAGACCGGGATTTGAAACATGGACCTCCGTTCACAATACTACCGCTTTAACCACTGAGCTACATGATAATCGGTTGTTCTATGGCGTACAGTTATTTCCGAACTTTTAGGGGAAGCTTTCTCTAGTGTTTCATCAGCCTTGGGACAGGGACCCGTAAATCTACCACAGCCTCATTATAATAGAAAAGAAGAGATTAACTCAGATTTTTGTATTCCCTTACATAAGATGAAGCAACATAAAAGAGTTTTTCCGCTAATTGTAGCTTTCTCATGTATCTTTCAAATTTCTTTTTATATTTCCACACGCCTGTCATTTTGGCGCGTTTCTCCTATGGTTCCTGGGGTAACGTTGATAAAGTGCAGACTAGGCAGTGAGCATTGACCTGATTTTTTTAATTTATGTTTTCAAACATTTAAATTCGTTTTAAACAACTCGTATTCTGCAAATGCATCGCAATGTGTGTTGTTTAAGGAATACTTCTCTTGAACATGACTAAACATACATTTAACAATCACCACAGTTGTATTTATGTAGTTTTTGTACCTATATCTAAAATGTAGTTGTAATCCAATTTCGTGTACAAAATGTTTGAATCGCCCAGACAAATAACACGATTGAAACACGACAACAGATACACATGTTGAAATGATTTATCACAATTGCCAGAGACACGTGATGTATCATTTGATATACATACGCAGAAATGTATAAAGCTAAAGGTTTATAACTGGTTCTTTGTCATACTCGTGGTGTTAAGTCCTATGTTTTGTCCTATGGATTAAGAATCACTGCTCCATACAAGTCTATTTGTGTCATGTTATTGATAGCATTGCCCCGCCATTTTGAGGTGCTAACTTTATTAATTGTTCGAAAGAAAACACAATACCATTCCGTTGATGTCAATGTATCTTTGAATGTCAGAAATGTATTACATTTCTTTGTGTATCCATACATTCCTGATCTTTTCTATCTACCCACAGGTATATGACGCCTCCTTCATGTAAACAAGAATAGTAGGATCCGCTGTGCATCATATAACATCCTATTCGATATAAAACATGCACAATTCTGCCAAAAACATTTACTTCTAGAGAGCCCTTTTAACCCACCAGTCCAATGTCTCACACAAGACAGGTGGCATCATGCTCATTCTGTTCTGTTGTCGCACGCACACGATAGAGGCGTCTTTGAGTTACACTGTGACGTAGTCTAGTATGACGCCTCACTGACACGGAGGAGGGGTCTTTGATTTGCAAGGCGTTGTCAAACTCACGTGAGAGAACGTTCTTAAGTCGAATGTTGCTGCGGTCATGTATCAAGGTTGACTCACATGAGAGAGGCGCCTTGATATGGAAGTGTAGACCTGCGTAATGCTTGACTCACATGAGAGAGGCGCCTTGATATGGCAGTGTAACCCTGCGTAATGCTTGACTCACATGAGAAAGGCGCCTTGAGATGGCAGTGTAGTCCTACATAATACCTGACTCACGTGAGAGAGGCGTCTTGATATGGCAGTGTAACCCTGCGTAATGCTTGACTCACATGAGAAAGGCGCCTTGAGATGGCAGTGTAGTCCTACATAATACCTGACTCACGTGAGAGAGGCGTCTTCGCAGTGTAGTCCTGCGTAATGCTTGACTCACATGAGAGAGACGTCTTTGAGTTGGTGTTGTAGTATGATATCTATAGCTGCATCGAATACCACCTGAACATTGTTTGTATCGGTGGCGCAAGTGAAGTGAGTATAAACCTCTTTGGCTTTGTTCCGGTTCAACTTCTCGTATTTCTTCCTTATAAAACTAGCTGCCTGCTCTAACACGTTATCGCCTGTGGAATGAAGTAATAAAAACATGTTTTAGCGAGCAAGTTCATCACAAAATATACCAATGTGACCCTTTGTGTTAGATTATACGTGTTGCATTTAAACAGACACGTAGCTGATATATAAACAAATAAGCTGTTGCACACACATCTGAACTTCTCACGTGTACTATGTCCTCATCATGTGTGGCCGGTACAGTGATTTGGGCTGTTTATTGTCCATTTCATTACAAATAATTTTGATGTAGTTATTTCAAAAAGTCGCAAATAAAGAGAGAACAGAAAAACCAAATAACGACACGTTAAACACACAATACAATTTGAATCTACTCCGCCGTTTTATTATTCTAACACTGACATGACTTTCCAAACCATTCATTGGTCAGTTGTAACTGCTCTAGGTCTCTAAATGCGAGTGTTATCCAGTGAAATTACTATACATGTGCAGATTGCAATAAGGCTGGCTGTTTTGATTCGTCATCAATTATTGTGTACCCCTTCTATATTACGAACGTTGTTAATGTGGTATGTCTATTGTAAGTAAAGATTATTATTACTACGTCACATGTATGTCTTACGTCTATCTACCAGCTACCTCACCATTATCGTCTTGGCAATGTGAATTATAGTTACATTTCTTAGCGAACTTTTCCATTTCTGATTCGACGAATAAGGCATATTGTTGTCTTCTAAATGAAAAATGAATCTAGTCGCTACATCTTAACACATAACGAGTGGTGTACAACAGTTCAATTAGCGTTGATTTGTAGAAAAAGTTAATTTGTAATCGATAAACCTGTTACTTCTTTATCAAAGATACATTGTTTTAATCATAGTTGTTCATTTGTTGTGCAAACCTCATAGTAAACCCAAATAACCTAATAATAAGCATTAAACAGGTGGTTCTGTACAACGTCTCTTTCCCCAACGTTAAACCATACACTCCCTCGTAACTCATTGGACAAAGTTGTATCTGTCGCATTTGAATATTTATATTAATGACATTGTCAGCATTTTGTTACATACATTTTATGTTTTATATATGGACACGAATTCTTATTTTTATACATTCTCCTTAACGCAGAAGTATGTACGGAAATACACGAGGAGGACGAGAGAGGAAACAAAATGGTGGCTACATCACGCACCTAGCTACTTATACATGCAACGGAGACAGAATGAGATATCCCTACACAATTATAACTAGACGTCAAGACTGGCAGTGCTAAGTGTTTCACTAAATATTGATGATTTGTGTATATTATCCGTTGGTAGGAGTATATTAAATTGATGGAGACTGGCAAAGTATTTACACATGTTGCTGTCCGTTCATATAATGTGTATTTCATATCATTGATATGGTATTGAGTGTGTGATGTTCTATTCGTCTGATACTAGTAATCATAAAACATTCAATAAACTGTGAATATAAAGGACTCTAGGATGCTCATTTTTTCCGATATCCGATATTTAGTTTAGATATGTAAATGAAAAGAGAAATTTTGATCAAAATATTTATCTCTATTGTCTTATATAGAGAACACGAATGCACACAAATTCTGGGCATTTTCGTTTCCTCGATTTTTATTCGTGTTTCCCACTTGTACCAGCGCGGGAATAAGAATGGGAGATTCTTGTTACTTTCAACACGAATTTTTTACTATTTTCGTGTTTCAGCTGCATATTTGGAAAAAAATTCTCACTTGGTAAATGGTTATGGTAAATACATTTATCATCATACTTTATACCACCTACCGGTAGCATGATAAATTCGTTATCATTGGTTGTCAATGAGGAGAAGTTGGGAACGACTTGAGAACAACTTGAGAAGAACTTGAGAACGGATTTGCCAATTCTCCAGAACTTTGGAACGGATTTTCTCAAAAAAGAACGTCTGCTCGCGCAAGATGACGTCCGGTTCGGAAATAGTGTTCACACAAAAGTGATCCGCGTAAGAAATAGTCCGTCATAAACATATCAATACAAAGTTACGAAAAAATATTGTGAGAATAACAAAACCATTTCAGGTGTAAATGTGCATATGGAAAAGCCTATGACGATAGGATTGTTTTAAAAATTTATATTTTTCTGCGTAGTTTTAAGGTTCATTGTATTCCTCCTCGCAAAACTATTCGCGCTATTTGTTTACGTTTGACACAAGCGATCGCTGACCATTAAGCTTAGAAGTCATTTGGAAAACTTGATGTTTAGTTGACTTTTTTAAATGGAGAAATATATAAGATAGTGGAATATAAATGATAAATAGTTTATCATACAGTATTTTCAGTGTTTGTCGTTCGAACAATTTTCTCATTGCTCACACGTAGATAAAATCTCAAGTCCACCTACGGTGGCCTCTCGATTTTAACCACATCCTCGCGATGAGAAAATTGTTCTCACGACAAACCCTGAAATGCAGTGTGATAATCTATAAGTAACACAAATTTATCCCATGCGTTTTCCGTACAAAACATGAAATATCACCTGTATAGTCAGGGAAGCAGGTGGTAAGGGGAGATGACTCCAGTTTCTTCTCGAATAAATCTTTCTTGTTGAGGAAGAGTATGACAGACGTGTCCACAAACCACTTATTGTTACAAATGGACTCGAATAGCTTCATACTTTCTTCCATACGGTTCTGTAAAAAAAGACGAACACGTTGAAGTGTTAATCAATACATCCTACTGTATAACGATACACTTTCCTAATTGTTCTCTTAGGATCTTGCTCATTTCTCACCGTTCCCGTTACTTGTCATCGCCTTGATCATTCAATCACTCTTTCTTTATTTTCCTCGCTTCACTAATCAATTATCTACAATCCAGCAATTCGCAGCCATACTTTTTGCCCCTGCAAGCCTGATTTAACTCCCCCCCC